ATGCAAAGTAAGATGATTCTTGGAGAATGCTCAGCTTCGTTTTGGTTTGATAATTGGATGGAATCGGGATCATTATGGCCTTTAAACCAAAAAGAGTCTCCTACTTTGGCGAACTTTCATGTAAAAGATTTTTTTGCTCAAAAAACTTTCTATTTGCAGGAATTGGGAGATGCCCTAAGTGAAGATATTAAAGTAAGAATGCAAGCTTTGGCTTTGGAGCCTTCAAGTGAGCAAGACAAATTCATATGGAAGACATCATCATTGGGAGATTTCACAATAGCAGCTCCATATTCGGATCTTTGACACAAAAGGGGAGAAAATAATTTACTTTGCAACATTTGGAATAGATTATTCCCTTTGAAAATATCTTTTTTCTTGTGGAAGCTTTTTAACAAATGTGTTCCTTTTCCTGAAGTACTTTAAAAAATGTAATTTAATTCCCATCCATCAAGGTGCCCTCTTTGTCTTGAGGAAGAAGAAAGCATCAATCATGTGTTTCTCACATGCGCAAAAACAAAACATGTATGTAATTACTTCTCTTCACTATTCGGAATTCAAGTTACTAATCATGCAGGTCTATGGTCAAATGTGAAAATGTGGCACACAATTGGAAGCTACACATCGGTAAAAAAGTCCATATTCATGGTGCTTCCAATTTTTGTAATATGGGAGATTTGGAAGTCCCGCAATAAAGCCTTGTATGAAGGTCAGAATTGTTCTTTAGAGGTAATGATTTTTGAAATTAAAACTAACATTTCAAACATGTTGAGAGTACATGAGATTAAGGCAAAATCAATAGCTGAACAAAAGGAGCTCGAAGCTATATTCAAAGTACAAGTTTTGCAGCCAAAAAGGAAGAATGTTGATTTGGGAACCACCCGATCCGGGGGCAAAAGTGCTAAATACGGATGGCTTAACATTAGGTCAGCCAGGACAAGTGGGTTGGGGATATGTGCTGCGAGGAGAACAAGGAGACTTTATAAGAGTAGAATGCAAGCATATTGGAGAAGCAAATAGTTTACCAGTAGAATTTGAAGGAATTCTCAAATGACTGAAATCATGTGCTGAAAATGGAATAGACAGGGTAACTGTGGAAACGGACAATCTAACAATTGTTACCCTACTTCAACAAACAAAACGCTATCCTTGGAAGTACGGTCATTATCTGATTGAGATTCAGAAAATGCTTTAATCCTCATATTCTAAGATCATTCATATCTATAGAGAGGTGAATAGTGTGGCTGATGATCTAGCAAAAAGAGCAACAAGTGGCAACACAATGCAATATAGAGACTACTTAAGTCTTCCAGCTTCCATACGGGGTAAGTTATTTCTTGATAGAATTTTTTTTTTCTGTTTATACGTATTAGATAAATTGTAATTAAATCTAGATTCTCATTTTAATTTTCTTTAATGCAAAAACAACTGTTAAAAGATTCTTTTAGGATCTGTGTAAAACAGACTCTTAGAATAGTTTCATTTACTTTTGGAGTTAAAAATAGAACTGTCAGGGGATCATAGTACAAATCTTTGTAAGATAGTTCTTAGCGTTAACTTGTACCAGAACCATCATAGGATTTTAGAAAATCATTGTAAGACGGTTCTTCTCTTTGGATAAGTCTTAAGCATTGCTTCTTGTAATTTTTCTTTTTATATTAATAAAATCGGGTGGATACCAGCCACATACCGTCCTGGTTCTCTTAAAAAAAAATTAATAAACTCTAACTTATGCTGAGGCAGTGAGTTCTTCTGAGGGACCCTTATAGGAAGAAGCCATCAGTTTTACAGAACCACACTTGGGAGCTTGTAGATCTCCCACCAGGAAGTTAACCATTGGGATCCAAATGGATCTTCAAGAGGAAAATGAAACCTGATGATACCATTGATAAATACAAGGCTAGGCTTGTAATCAAAGGGTATAAACAACGAGAGAGTTTAGACTACTTTGATAGTTATTCTCCCGTGACGAGAATAAATTCTATAAGGATGATACTTGCTATCGCAGCCTTAAGGAATTTGGAAATACATCAAATGGATGTTAAACAGCTTTCTTAAATGGAGATTTAGATGAAGAAAATTATATGGAACAACCCGAGGGTTTCCGAGCTCCAGGTACAGAAAAGAAAGTTTGTAAGTAAAGTCCTTGTATGGTCTAAAGCAAGCTCCCAAGAAGTGGCATGAAAAATTTGACCATGCAATGATTACTAGTGGATTCAAGATAAATGAGTGCGACAAATGAGTTTATGTCAAGGAGATAGAAAACGATTATGTCATTTTATGTCTATATGTAGACGATATACTCATTGTTGGTATAAGTAGTGACAAGTTGGTCAAATCTACTAAGGAAATGTTGAATTCTAAGTTTAACATGAAAGACATGGGTCTAGCTGATGTGATTTTAGGTGTTCAAATTATATGGACAGCAGATGGTCTAATTTTGAGTCAAGCTCATTATATAGACAAAATTCTTTATAAGTTTAACAAGAATGATTCTGGAGTTACAAAAACACCATTAGGTAACAGTATCCATTTATCCAAGAATCGTGGACAGGGTATATTCCAAGTGGAATACTCTCGGATAATAGGGAGTCTCTGATGTATCTAATGAATTGTACTAGGCCAGATATTGCTTATGTTGTAAGCAAATTGAGTTCGTACAAGGGCAACCCTAGTGTTGAACACTGGACTGCTATAATTAGAGTAATAAGGTACCTAAGACATACTCGTGATTATGGATTGCACTATACCAGATATACATCTGTGTTAGAAGGTTACATGAATGCTAATTGGATATCTGATATAAAGGACTCACACAGCACAAGCGGCTACGTGTTTACACGAGCTGGAGCAGCTGTGTTATAGAAATCCTCAAAACAAACTATAATTGCCAGATCCACAATGAAATCCGAGTTCATTGCCTTGGATAAGTGTGGTGAGGAGGCTGAATGGCTGCCACATTTTCTGGAGGATATTCCAGAGTGGGAAAGACCTACGCCACCTATCAATATTCATTGTGATAGTCAATCGGCGATTTGAAGGGCACAGAGTACTATATATAATAGTAAGTCGAAACATATTCGTCGTCGACACAATACCATTATACAACTCCTCTCAACAGGAATTTTCACAATTGACTACGTGAAGTCAAAGGATAATCTTGCGGATCCGCTAATGAAAGGGTTACATAGAGAGTCAGTTAAAAAATTGACCAAAGGAATGAGTGTAAAGACTGTGATGAGATAAAAGTCTTAACAAGGAAAACCCACCCTAGTTGACTGGAGATTTCAAGATCTAGGTTCAATGGAACAACCTAATCATAAGACTTAATGTGGTCACTGTGGGGGATAAACCTCAACTCATTCATGTCATCAAACAGTGATATGACGGAAAGGATAGCAAACTGTTACTTTAATGATACTTAAGTGAGTAATATCATCTACTTTAGACTTAAGAAGTCACCTATGTGAGAGCAGTGGGTCCGCTTCAAAGGAAAACTGTTAAGACTCAGTTCTTTCGAAACTCTTGCAGAATCAGGACGTGTTCATGGCCAAAATGTACAAAACCATGAGAAAGGAACTAAATAGAAATGGTTCCTATGTACGACATGTGGGTTTCTTTACACATCGGGTCTACTAGACAGCTAGTAAAGCAAACATACTTTACAAGGAGGACAGTTCAAGGACATCGGGTCTACTAGACAGCTAGTAAAGCAATCATACTTTACAAGGAGGATGTTTAGAGGGTAAAACCTACTTTCTCTATGCAGAGATCAGTTGGTGAACACTATCATCATTCAATCGAAACAATATCTCATTCATGTGGGGGATTGTTAGAAATGAGTTAAAAATTTGAATGAGAATTTGATTTCTCAAGTTAGAAAAATGAGAGTTAAGCATAGGGACTTTGTCCCACATTGGATGTTGGGAAGAGTTGGAACTCACTTTATAAGTGAGAGCCCAAAAATGGAGTGCAAGTTGTCTTACCATTACTATATTCCATATCTCCCGCTCGAGTGCACCCGCGCAGGGGGAGGGTGCAAATGAGGGTCCAATTCGAGGCCAAAATAACATGACTCATGTGTGTGCGCGACCTGTGGACACCAATGCCGGACTGAAACCTTGCGGTCCTGATCATCCCGAGTTTTGCGTTTTGCGCATTAATTTTTTCCAACCAAAATTTAAAATGGAGAGTTGTGCTCATTCATTTCACTCAAAACAAAACTGAAATGGTGCATTTGATTTGTAGCCTTGAATGAGCAGAATGAATAGGCATATTTAATTCTATTAGAAGGCAGAAATGAATTCATTTGACTGTTGGGATGGTAAAAAACGTTTGAAGGTTTATGTGCCTTGAATTCTTTGCATATAACAGCATTAAAATGATAAAACCGTTGCAAGGTATGCTACCTTTTGAAAGGTCTCTCCAGCCTATAAATAGGTACTCATTTTCCAAAGTTCAACATACCAATTCTTCCTCCACTTGCAGCATTCTTTCGAGCCTTTCTATCTTCTCTTTTTGATGTTCATCTTTTTGTTCTAAGTTTCCGTTCGTTGGTAGAACTTCTTTGTGCTAAGTAGCCTTTTACATTTTCGTTGTGTCCTGGGAAATAGTTGCTCGAGATCCTCAAGCACTATAGAAGGGAGCAAATCTGTTTTGAGGAGATCGTGTTTTCACGAGCCTTGAATTTCTTCTTTTCCGATTTTTCTTAACCTTTGCAAATACTTCTCATATTTTGTTCAACAGAAACCTTAGCAGAGATGGATTGAACGGCGTCGTAACCAATCCACGTAGTTCCAGAGTACACACAGTTGCAAACCCGAGTCGAATTATAAACCGCCACCGCATTACTATTTTGACTGATAAAGCTCCTAATCTCCGCAAACGTCATTGCACCGTTATCCAGAGCTATCGGACCGTTCGCCGGAGATCGGATCCTATGGTTATTACTGTTCACCAAACGCTATGCGTATACATAAAACGGAAGTCCCTGTGCCAATTTCTTAGCTGGCACCCCCGCATTCCTCCAACTCTGGATTCTGGTGCTTCTGGCAGCCTCTCCATAAAGGATGGTATAATACGGCGTGACAGTTCGTGAATCTTGTGTACCAATCAGGGGAGTAAAAATCGTATGTAATGACGTTTATCCAATCCAGGCTCCTGGAAATGGCTGCATAAGGATAGTTGTAAGTTCCGTCAACTCTTGGTGAGTAGCCTTGGACCGCTGCCATAAAAAGTAACGGCGGCTTGCCGAACCTGGTGGCCTTGGCCACCACGGCCGATTGCCATTCGTCCAAAAGGGTGCCTAAATATGTCATGTCCGAATTGGAACCGGGGTATTCCCACTCTATGTCTAGACCGTGGAAGCCTTTGGTTCGGGTTAGGGTTATGGAAGAATCAATGAATGATATCCTTCTAGAAGCTTGGCTCACCATTGCAGAGAAGGCGGCCTCGTCGGAAGCTCCACCGCTGATGGAGAGGAGGGTTTTGACTAAAGGGTTTTTGAGTTGGACGGTTTGGGTGAATTGGGAAAAGGGTGCGCTGTTTGCAGAGGATATGGTGACGGTGTATGTGGTGGAGTCAAGATCGGTAAATGCGCAAAACAGGTGAGTGAAAAGATTGGAGTTGATATCTTGGATTGAGGTTAGACACAATCCACATTTGAATAGGAAAATCTCAAATGAGTAGCTAGTTTGACCACTCATAGGATGTGTAGCCTTGGAATATATCTTTATCTTCTACAATCTACATAGGGTGCTGGTAACTTCTAATCGTGCTGGAGATGAGAAGAGATAGCATGTATAATGATGTAAGTGGGAAGGGGTTCCGGTGACTAAAACGTTCATTATTCCGGTAAAAAGTATCAAACATTGACTTTGAATATAATCTTGTTTTTTTTCCCTTAGCAAAGGAGACTTACCGGGTCGAATGAAGATTAGTACTCTATTACATAACATACCTTCATCTTTGGATTGGCTTATGATTCCTATAAAAAAGGGGGGAAAAGCATTTCTTCATTCTTCAATCGAAATAATTATACTAAGAATGTGGACCCTACAAATGCATGCTTGTTTTGATTAAAATTCTGTAGCTCGTGAGTTATTATACTTTGTATACAAAGTATAATAACTATTCATACATATATACAAAGTGTAAGTAGACATTTTACATTATATGATTAACTATTCATACATATATATAAGAGTTAAAAACACCATACTTAACTTGCAGGTATTTAAATTAAAATATGTTATATGCACTATAAAATAATTGTAATATCACATTTGTACATTACAGTGAAAAATTCGATCATCCGATGAAACTGACAGTTGAGGTCGGCTGGTTAGAAGTTACTTTTTTGGCCGACGGATGAAATTACCCCTTTGAAACCTTTTTTTTTGTTTGACCCTCTTGGTTGTGGTTAAGTATTAGAGTTATTTATAATAATAAAATATTTATAAGGTTAAAATCAAAGATAAATTAGAGATTTATATATAATTACCAATGTTCACTAATGACAATACTAGAACATTACCCAATAACAAAATGTTTTACGTGAAAAATTAAATGTTGCATTAGTCTTAGTGCATTCAATTGAAATTGAAAAAAATTTCGTTGAGGATGTATTTGAAAAAAATAGCATTATTTTGGATTGAAATAAGAGAAAGTTTAATTAAGGGTGTGACTTTGTAAATTAATTTGGTCATCTTTGTAATTTTAAAGGGGAAATTATGGTTTTTAAACTTTTAGTGGTATAGATATAAATTTCTGAAAAATTATAAACCCCCAAAAGATTAAGGGAAAAAGAAACAATGAAAACCCAAAAGCCCCTTTTCCCCCAAATATTCCGACGTTGGTTTAATACTAGTTTGGAGTACCACCAAGTCCAGTTTGCATCACCACCGCGAACACTGCAACCCTGGCCGCCATTCATAACCATCACAATTCACAACCTCCTCCTCACCACCAAATTCGAACATAATTCCAAGAGTTCAAAGACGGGGTCGACCTCGGGTTAGTTCCTCTACATAAATTTCTATGAAACCGTGGATTTAATTTTCTCAATCCGCCTCTCCCCCTTGTGTGTGCTCTCTCTTCTTCTTCCTCATGCATACATGGATTCTATAATCTGCTATTGATGATAGAGGGAATGTGATTATGTGGGTTGTACGCTATTATTGGATCGGTGATTTTTTATTTTTTTTTAACAGGAAGCATTATAGGGAATCAAAGGACGCAACCGAGTACACACGCTTGTGGACTTCGAACGGGTTAAAGCATTGAATTAATTTCCAGGTAGTAATTTGGTAAAAAGATTTTTCTGCTATTGTTTTGGTTCCCTCCTTTTCTTGATTCATTTGGTTCCTGGTATATGCTTTGTGGTTTTTTGGTTTGTTACACTTAAGCTTTTTTTTTTGTTTTTTTTTTTTAATCTTCAACAACAAAAAACACATTCGAATAATACAAGTAAACAATTCCTACTCACATTAGGAGTAAAATAAAATTCTTGCAAACATAACTACCACAGTTGTAAAAGCCAAGTCCAAGCGAAACTCTTCAAAACTGTCCCATTATAACTTTTCCCAGGTATTGAATTCTTAGTAGAAGAAACCAAGGACTTTCCCTCTAGCATTTTTCCTCCTAACCTCTTCATTGTCCATAATTCCAGCAGAAGTGGTCAGCACAATGTACCCAAACTGTCTAGATGGAAGCTACCTGGTTATAAAAGCCTTTTTTTTTTCCTAAGCAACTTGTTTAAAGGCTCTGTTTCTAACTTTAGCTAATCTGCACATGTTTATCAATTGCATCTAATTTTATCATTAAAGGAAGACCTTATTTCCCAATTGTGTACATTAAGTTCCTCAAATGGATTAAAAAGTTCTATATTAATCTCCCTGAACCCACCAATTGCTCTAATTAAAACAATGAAGCTACTAAAAAAACAAGCATATTTAGGAAAAAAAGGAACTTACATGGCACATACTGATATGCAATTGTTTTATATCTTTTCAGATTATATGTATTTGAGGTCGAAATGAGAAGTGATCGTGAATGGATGTATAAGAGGTTCTCACCAGGGACTAGTTATATTAACCCTGAGTTTGTGGACGGAGTTAAATCATTCATCCAATATGCTTGTCAACAAGCAGATTTCATGGATAATGATAAAATAAGGTGTCCATGTCGTAAATGTCATAACCGAAGATATGTTTTACCAATTGATGTTGAGCTACACCTTTGTAAGGTTGGGTTTCGTGAGGATTATTATGAATGGGTTTGCCATGGGGAACAAAAATCTGAGTTGCAATCCTTATAATTAGACAGTAATATATCCACAAGAGATATCAAAGGATCCAATATGTATCGCAACATGGTTATAGATGCCATTGATCCAAGTTTTGACCCACATTTTGGTGAACAATCCAATGATCATGAAGAGCCACCAGATGTAAGGACTAAAAGGTTATATGAAATGCTCCAAGAAGTAGATCAACCATTGTATCCAGGATGTTCAAAGTTATCGCAATTGTCTACTGTTGCAAGATTGTTAAGCGTCAAGTCTGAGCACCAAATCTCAGAAAAGGCATACGATGCCTTTTTGGAAGTACTTAAGGATGCATTACCGGATGATAATAAGTTGGTTGGTAGCTTTTACGAAACAAAAAAGTTTGCTGGTAATTTAGGCCTTCCCTGCGAGAAAATTCATTGTTGCATACATGGATGCATGCTATACTGGGGTGATGACATTGGGCTAGCAAGTTTTAAGTTTTGCCATCATTCTCGTTATAAGCATACACAAAATGGGTCTAAGAAGAGAAAAACTGAAAAATGTAAAGTGATGCATTATTTTCCACTCACTCCCCGATTGCAAAGATTGTATGCTTCTGAAGTTATAGCTAAGCATATGAGGTGGCAGTATGAGCATGATGTAAAAGATGGTGTCATTTGCCATCCATATGATGCTGAGGCTTGGAAACATTTTGATCGTGTACATGAATCTTTTGCTAGAGAGCCTCGAAATGTAAGGCTTTGGCTTGTGCACAGATGGGTTTCAACCATTTGGACAATCAGGGAAGCAAATTCTTGTTGGCTGGTAATAGTTACCCCGTATAATTTACCTCCATGGATGTGTATGAAAGAGCCGTATATGTTCTTGACTATCATTGTGCCCGGTCCGAAAAATCCAAAGCAAAAGTTAGATTTTTTTTGCAACCATTGATAGCTGAACTCTTAACTCGTTGGGAGGGTGTAACCACGTATGATGTTTTCGAGAAACACAATTTTCTGATGAGGGCTTCACTTTTGTGGACTATTAGTGATTTTCCAGGATATGCAATGTTATCGGGGTGGAGTACATCCGGAAAAAAAGCTTGTCCGTATTCTATGGAAAAATCGAAGGCTTTTAGGTTATCCAGTGGTGGGAAGAATTCATGGTTCAATTGTCACCGTCAATTTTTGCCAATGACCCATGCTTTTAGAAAAAATAAAAATTTCTTCATAAAGAATCGGAGTGAGTCATCTCCATCTCCGTTGCCATTGACTAGTGAAGATGTTCTACGGTAAATTAATGATTTGGGATTGAAGAAAGTAATTGATGTTGATGGGGAAAAATGGAATTCTTCTGTTGTTAAGTCATGCGATTGTGGTTGGAGAAAAACGCAGTATATTTTGGGATCTTCCTTATTGGAGCACTAATCTTATTCGTCATAATCTCGATGTCATGCATATTGAGAAGACTATGAAGATGGTCCCTTACATTTGGGCCTACTTGTCTTTTAATTTAATTTAAATTTTTATTAAAATTTAAATCATTAAAATATTTTAAAATTCAAATTTCATTATTTAATTGTTAAAATATTATTTATTAATTAAAAATATTATTGTATAAAATTTATCATTATTTTCAAAATTACTTTTTTTTATTTACTATTTACTTTAAGTACACAGTAAATAGTAATTATGTTGCACTTTTAACTTTAGCCCACTGTAACTTAAAAAATTAACCAAGTTACAGTAAATAATTCAAAATTCAATTATTTTTTTAAAAAAAGAAAAATAAAAAGCAAAACTAAGATTTTTTTTACTCTGACCGCTACAGTAAACACAAAATGGTAATTATGTTACACTTTTAACCTTGTACCCACTGTAACTTAAAAAATATACCGAGTTACAGTAAATAATTCAAATTTTTTTTTAAAAAAAAAAGAGAAAAAACAAAACCAAGATTTTTTTTATTTTGACCGCTACAGTAAACCCTAAATAGTAATTATAATACACTTTTAACCTTGGAGTCACTGCGACTTAAAAAATTTACCGAGTTACAGTAAATAATTCAAAATTTAATTTTAAAAAAAAAGAAAAAGAAAAGGCAAAATCACGATTTTTTTACTCTGACCGCTATAGTAAACCCTAAATGGTAATTATGTTACACTTTTAACCTTGGACCCACTGTAACTTAAAAAATTTACCGAGTTACAGTAAATAATTCAAAATTCAATTTTTTTTTCCGGAAAAAAAAGAAAAAACCAAGATTTTTTTTACTCTGACCGCTACGTTGCTTTTTTAACGTTGGCCCTACAATAACTTAAAAAATTTATCGAGTTACAGTAAATAATTCAAAATTTAATTTTTTTTTTTTTAAAAAAAAAAGCAAAACAAAGTAATTGACCTCTACAGTAAACCCTTATGTTGCACTTTTAACCTTGGACCCAATGTAACTTAAAAAATTTGCCGAGTTACAGTAAATAATTCAAAATTCAACTGTAGCAGTCAAAGTAAAAAAAAAGATATTGGTTTTGATTTTTCTTTTTTTATAAAAAAAACAAAATTTTGAATTATTTACTGTAACTCGGTAAATTTTTTAAGTTATAGTGGGTCCAAGGTTAAAAGTGTAACATAATTACCATTTAGAGTTTACTATAGCAGTCAGAGTAAAAAAAATGGTTTGGCTTTTTCTTTTTTTTT